TCCTACTGGAATGGATTTATTATCCTTCTGCCCTTGGGACTAGTTTAGGGGAGAAGTCTGAGGAGCACTGAAGCAATGGAATTATTTGAAATGTGACCCTCTCAGTTGACTTGGTTTCAAATCCTCAGCAGTTGGAGCATCTTGGCTTATCTCAAAAGCTAGAAATACTGTAGCATTTGTCACTTCAATCCCAGCCAAGGGTCAAATGCTGTATCACACACAGAAGCTAAAATAAATTCTAGAAGTTGTTTTCGTGATTGACTTAACTTTATTCACATGAGAGTTATAGGGGCCAACAAAAACTTCCTCGAACATTCCTTCTGGTGGGATGAATTAGAGTTTGGTTGCAGACAGTGTGGGTTGAAGGGATATGTAGTGAGACAGATTGGGGGCTTGCTGCAATTTTACATCATCATGAATCCAGTTTAATTTTAACCTTGTGGCTTGTCTAACACATTTGCAGTAAGAGTTGGGGAATAAATCTAACGCTCATTGGCAAACGCTTGGCAGACCTTGAGAGCAGCATCTTTAGAGAACACATAATCAATCCTAGCACTGGGGCACATCAGACATTGTGAGTGCAGGTCAGAGGTGCCTTGAGGTGCCGAGGACGGCATCCCATGACAGTGACAGCAGTGGGATCTCAGGGCATACAGCAGGCAGCTCCGGAGAGTCTCAGTCAATCCCAGGATCGTGGCATGGCCTCTCAGTACTGATAGGACCTCACAAGGAGCCACATAATGATAACTGTAATCAGGACAATGGTGAAGTTGATGAACAACTCCCGGGAGGACCACTCCATTCTCAGAGTGGCTTGGTGAGAACTGCAGGCAGACCTCTGAGGGCACACGAAGACTTCTGGCTTGTCCTCACCTCCTAGCAGAAAGTAACAAAGAAAACGTGGGGAGATTAATGAGCATTCCTATAAGACAATTTTCAATCTTTCCTCAAAGAAAATAGAAGTGTTATGGAAAAGGAGAGTGTTATGGGCTAAATTGTGTCCCCTCAAAATCTATATGTTGAAGTCCTAGCTCCCAGTACCTCGGAATGTGACTATGTGTGGAGATAGGATCTTTCAAGAGATAAATATGTTAAAACAAGGTCATTAAGGTGGGCCCTAAGGTATGGGACACCAGTATGACTGGTGTCCTATATTAGGAAAAGATTGGGACACAGACACCTACAAAGGGCAGACTATGTGAAAGCACAGGGAGAAGACGGCCATTTACAAGGAGAGAGGCCTCTGAAGAAACCAACCCTGCCAACGCCTTGAGCTGGGACATCTAGCCTCCTGACTTTCTTTATCCTAGAGCTGCAACTCTTCCCTGAGTCTCCAGTCAGCCATCCTACCCATGGATTTTGGACTTGCCAGCCTCCACAATCACATGAGCCAATGCCTTAAACACACCTCTCCCTCTCTCTCTCTCTCTCTCTCTCTCTCTCTCTCTCTCTCTCTCCCCTCCCCCTCTCCCATGGTTATGTTTCTCTGAAGAATCCTGACAAATACAGAAAGTCTGATTTCTCTGACTAATGTCATAAAGACCAACATTTTTGTCCTGATTTTTTTATCTGTGATTTATTGTCTTGATGCTTTTGATAAAATACAAAATATTACATTTTTCTGTCTCCAACTTCTGTGTGTGTGTGTGTGTGTGTGTGTGTGTGTATGTATATGCATGTGTTCACTCTGTTAAATTAGAGTATCAGCAGCAAGCAGGGGCACCAAAACAGAAAAATGTTATGGTTTAGTATTGTTCTTGCTTGGAATCACATTTAGAAGATGTTTCATGCTGCTATAGATCTTCAACTAACACTAGTGAAAGCACAAAGTAGTTTCGACAGCTGCATGGCCTCTTACAAGTCCTGCATTGGGCACGGAGCCTACTGGGATTAACCAAAAGCCCCTCGCATAGCAGGCGCTCAATCCAAACAGCAAGTGTAAACTTCATGGGTACTTCTCTTTCAACAAGGGCTTGTGCCAGCTATTTTTAGTCAGGTCCAGGATGTGCCTAGATTGTAAACACTTAAAAGAGCAGGGATAGTATCTTCATAATGTGTACAGATTGTGTATGCAGGAAATCATACTTTGAGAACAATTGCAGTACAGCCAATTCAATGACTACCTTCCACGATGAAGTGTAATTGGCACTTTGTTTATGCAATCTAAATGAAATTAAAGACTTCTATATTTTAGATAATTTAGATAATTAGATATCTACATTTTAGAGACTTAGGACAAAAGTCTACTATGGAGTGAAAAATTTTAGGGAGAAAGAGTGTTTTGTTTGTTTGCTAAGGGTGGGAGTTCAAGGGGCCGAAAGAGTTCTTAGCAAGCTTTTGGCCTGAATGATATTTTTAAGGGATTTAACCTGACAAAATTATTCATTGTAATTACTGTATTGGTTGTATCATCAACAGATCTAATTATTAATTGCATAAACACCATTTTTCATGTTATGTAATCATTGGTATTCAAATTAGATGGTGCCAACCAGTAGGTTATTGAATCTTGGTTTAAAATATGGCCAATGATGACAGATTTATGTTTCATTTCCCTTTTAATTTTTATCCATCTTTTGGTCCTCAGCATAAAGGAAATAGCAAATTGCCAATGAAAATCCTTGCAAAGATTTGCTTGGAGGAGAAAGTAAACAGAAGAAAACAAATGAATAAAGGGAAAATGAGATAATGTATAAAAATATACACAAGTGCAGAGGGGAACAGGAAGGAAGAGTCCAGTCAAGGAGCCTGAAGGCAAAGGAATTAGAATCTAAGACAGACTCTCCCTTTTGAACTTATCAGTGAAATCAAACCCTGGTCCAAATGCCCACTTAATTGGGTAAGTTCTCAAGAAATGCAGAGATATGCAGAAAATATGAAACCCAGTTTATAATGATCAAGACAATCCAGTTCAGGGAGGGCAAAATAACCATCTCACCAAACCTGCTTATTAGATTAAGCTCTTAGATAAAGGGAGTCATGGATAGTGGTCCAACAAGAATATACTTGGAAAATAAGGAAAATGGGCTTGAAAGCTGTTTCACAACTCTGTTCCTGCTACCTTCACAGAAACTCAGGCAAGTGTCATTGTGATTTTTATCTTTCCCAAGATTACAGCTGAGAAACTGTCTTTTAGAGAGAGGCTAAGTTGTTTGTGTAGTAACAGCACATTAAAGGCAAAGCTAGAACTGGCAGACTGGAGCTAGTTACTAGAGTCACTCTAGAATAACTCTATAGGAGCGATTACAAGAATGAATTGTTACTGCAATTAACTGGCCTGTCTAAACAGAGTCAGTGTAAAATTTTCAACCACTTTGGAAAACAATTTGGCTTTTTAAAAATTAAGGTTGAAAATGGTCATTTGCTAACATCTAGCAATTTCGCTTCTACCCTAAGATACTCAGGCACATATGCACCAGGACACATATACTAGAAGGTTCACAGCAACATTTTCACAATAGCCCAAACTGGAAATAACTCAGATGTTCATCACCCATAGAACGGACAACAGATTTGTAGTATGTTCATACATTTAAATATTACAGAGCAAAGAAAATATGTGAACTATATACACACAACAAAATCAGTAGGTCTCTCAAAAATAATTATTGAGTGAAGGAAGAACTTACAAAAGAAATAGAATATAATTCCATTCATATGAAGTCAAAATCAGGAAACTTAATCATATAGAATGCCGAGACAGATGGTAAAACTATGAAGAAACGCAAGGGCCAGATGATTCCAATGTCTTGGGGCAGAAGAGGAGAAGAGGGTGGGGTGATCAGGAATGGACTTCTGGGTGCTAGCAGTGATGTTTATTGACCTGGACTTGCCTTATAGTTATTGTATCAACTGTATATGTTTATACATTCTTCACATTTTGGGGTCATCTCTGAATTGACATGCACGCTGCCCATCACATACTTCTTGTTTTTCTGTGGTTTACCTCTTACTATTTCTTGCACTTTAATGGTGACCTTAAATATTTGTTGTTTTATGTGTTTTTAAATAAATAAAGCATAGAGAGTTAAGGTGAGAATTTCTAATGCATTCAATTCAATCAACACATACACTAACTGTAAGGTGTGGACATGACTTTCATACTCATTTATACTCTTTAGGAAGAATGAACCAAAATTAGGCAGAAATTCAGTTCAGCAAACTTCTATTTTTCTGCTGTTAACTCACAAAGACGCTTTTGGCTTCATTTTAAATCTTCCCTGGAGTCAAGTTCACACCATATGATCCAGAGTGATTGCCAATGGATGAACTAAAAACCAAAAACGCTCTGAATAAATTGTACAGGAAGTTTGACATTGACTTTCTTTGACTAGAGGCTTTGAGAAGATGGAAGACAGACTTTCTTCTATGATACAAAAAAATTTTTTTAATACTAAGGGAGAAAATGCATATCATGAGGAGATAGAAAGGAGAACAGAAATCAGTAATAGTCATTTGATATCTTAAGAAACATCGTATACATTAAGAAATGTCAACATTCCTCTGCCTTTCTCTTTTGCAACTTATACACACACACACACTGTATGCTAAGCACAAAAGTCCTGCAGTTACCTGAAGAGGGTTAAGGACACACCCGGCTGCGAAAGGCTTCTCCCTTCTCTCCCCAACTCTGGCTCCAACTGTTGCTCACCTCCCAGGCTGTCTGGACTCCTGGACTCTGGGCAGGGCCTAAAGTAGTCCGAGGGAGGTGGCAATCACTGTGATGTCATTGATGAAACATCTCAAAGGAACAACCTCTGAAGGTTCCAGGCTATTTGTGTTCAGGGGGACATGGAAATATGTTGACTAAGCCTTTGTTCCTTTGGCTGCCAATTTGCTACCACCGGAACTTAAAAACCTTCTGTTTCCAGTTGACTTTTTAGTGCAACTGATGTGGCTTTTACATTTCTCTTTTACATCTTCATGAATATCTCCAACATGTCTTTAAAACATCATAAACCAAGAGTGATAGACTAATTTTAACCAATCAATGCTGCATTTGGCTGTGCTCCCTACTCAGCATGTGAAGGTATAAAAATGTGACTTCATTTTACCACTCATATCTCTAGTTATTTGAAATGTGAACAGTTCTCTGCCTTACACCCACACACACGCACACCCCTCCCCCACACTCCAGAATTCAATAAGCATCTTTAGCTCCCTCAAAACTGACTTTAGTCCAAGCAGTGAAAGCTATCCCCTTAGTCACCTGCTCCACATAACTTTCCAGCTGAGCTGTGCATTGCAAGTTTACACATGAGTCTACAGTTTCATCTGAAATGGCCCAGGAAGCCATGGTTTGTGTACCTCTGT